TTCCCACCACAAACACCAGTATTATCACTAAGTTGTTTGCATTTTCTAAAGGAAGCAAAAGCAGTAATGTGAAAGTTTTTATAATTTCAGTACTACTCTGAGCTCCCATCTGTACATAAAAGGATTTTATACAGGAGACACTTCCATCTCTGTCCTCAGTGAGAATACACTAACACAGCACACTCACACATACATATACACATGCATACATGCACACACATGAGCACTCACAGGCACATACAGATGCAAACATTCATATGCCCAAATACATACACACATTGCACACACTGGCATGCTCACAAGCCCATGTGTGCACATACATGTAAAGATACACATACACATACCCACACACATTCATATGTGCTTTCATGTGTCTGTAGTCATATTTATACGTGTGTGGATACACAGACATATTCACTTGTGCACATACAAAAGCACACTCCTGTGTCAATAGGCTTGCTTGTGTGTATATACATGTGGACAAGTTCACATGCATGCATACCCACAAGTACACTCATGTATCCATAGATATTCATGTACACATATGTGTATACACAGACATAGTCACATACACACATGTAGACAGGTGCACATACATATATATCCACATTGCCATATTCACATGTATATAGACATGCATATGCATGCATACACATAGACATTGTGCACACACATATACAGATGTCCATGTGCAAATGCATGCACTCACATGCACATAGCTGTAACCAAAGAGTTTCAGTCTTAGGTGCTGAAAAAAATGAAACAAGATCCCTCTGTTTATATCAGAGCTGAGCCCTGTCCAGCTTAGGCTACCCTTTCATGTCCAGATATTTTAGGATATGAATGTATTTATTTGGTGTAACTGAGGCTCCCTGTGGCAGAAGTCCTGACTCCTGCCAACTATTGCTAAACAATTTGACCTTGCCTCTCTATTCTAAGCTGCATAAACTTCTATTTCCAAATCCAAAGTGAAACTCTTCTCCCAGATCTTTTTCTTTTGTTAGATCTTGAGCAGCATTTTATCCTGTTGCACACCTAGAATGGAGCCATCCTGTTATACTTGTCTGTCAAATACAGTCTGCCTAAAGATGAAATGTCGAGTCCAGGCTTGATCCTTACACACAGCCAAGCCGGCTGTTCTGTCTGGGTCCTGACAAGGACCCTTTCTAGCATCACATGAAAGAAACCAGCGAGACTGCCCAGGAAGCTAGAGGAGTTGGGTGGATAACTTCAGTCCTCAAGTCTTGGAGGAAGGAGGGAGTGCTTGCCTAAATTTTTATCCCCCTTCATTCTTATCATTGAAATGTCTGACATGTTTGGTTGTGTCATTTTACTGTTTAATACCACACCTAGTGACTTCCCACATTTCCTTTTGTATTAGGAAGATTGTAGTTTTCTTTTTATTGACCATCCAATTGTTTAAACTTTTAAACCTGCAATGTAGGCTCTATTGAATCAACATTTTCCTTACTGGTGGCTACTGCATTCTGGGAGGGTCACTCTCAGCCCTGAGCAGTATCCCTGGTACCAAGATGCTGAAGGAAGCTCTCATTGTCAATTGGCCATAATTAGATATTGTCATTTCTCAGAGTCTGGGAGGAGCTCAATGTCACAAAGGCTGGGCTCATGGAGCACAAACAGTGCCAATGGAGCAAAGACAGAACCTCCAGGCTGAAACAGAGACTGCTGCCATTCAAATTACCAAATTTACCAAGCACAGTGGCTTATGCCTTTAATCCTAGCATTCTGGAGTCAGAGGCAGGTGGACTTCTGTGAGATCAAGGCCATCCTGGTCTACATAGCAAGTTTCAGGCCAGCTGGGGCTAAATGGATACCCTGTCTCAAAAAGACAAAAAAAAAAAAAAATTAACAAATTTTACATGGGATGGCATGGGAGGGGAGAGGAGTTCTATAAAGCTTTTTTTTTTAATTTGAGAATTTGTAAAAGTAATTTTAAGATGTACTATAATCTACCACAATTTCACAGTTATTAAAAACATCATATGATTTAACAATGGGTCCTGTTTATTCATTCAACAAATATTTATTGAGCGCTTACTTTAGGCAAAGCATGCAGCTCAGCATTAGAGAACAAAACAGACCTTGTCCCTGTGATCATGAGGATTGTCAGTGTCGAGGAAAACATTCGTTAAGGATACAGGCCCATTGTTTTCTTTTTCTGTTGTGCCTTTACCTGGTTTGGGTATTAGAGTGATACTGGCTTCATAAGAGGAGTTTAAGTGTTCTCCGTTTCTATATTTTAGAATACTTTAAGCAGTACTGGTTGTAGAACTTAGAATGCCTGGTAGAATTTGTCTGCGAATCCATCTGGGCCTGGGTGTTTGTTTGTTTGTTTGTTTTTTAATTTGGGAGGCTTTGTAGTACTGTTTCAATATTCGTATTTATTATGGATCTGTTTAAGTTGTTGATCTTTTCTTGGTTTAACTTTGGTGGTGTCCATGACTTTAGAGATTCATCTATTTCTTTTAGATATTTGAATTTAATGGAGTATAGATTTTTAAAGTATTCCCTTACAATGTATTGTGTGTGTGTGTGTGTGTGTGTGTGTGTGTGTGTGTGTGTGTTGTTGTGTTGTGTCTATTGTGATGGTTCCCCTTTCATCTCTGATTTGTTAATTTGGATTTGCTCTTTCTTTCTTTTGGTTAAGTGGGTTAAGCGTCTGTCTATCTTGTTTAACTTTCCAAAGAACCAGCTCTTAGATTCTTTTTTTTTTTTTTGTATTTTTTTCTATTTCATTAATTTCTGCTCTGATTTTTGTTATTTCTTCTCCTCTACTAGGTTTGCAGTTGGCTTGTTCTTACCTTTCCAGAGTCTTGAATCTTGAGGAAAAATGACCTACAGGTATAAGAGTTGTTTTGAGTTCTGGGCCCTTAATCCCAGCCCTTTGGGGCTAGGGGCAGAGGCAGTTGAATCTCTGTGAGACAGAGACCAACCTGGTCTACATAGGAAGTTGCTGCCCCCAGGAGTTGTTATGAGTGACATGATCCCAGGCAGCTTACTTTAGTAATGCCTCTGGTTTTTTCATGAGAGACGTACTCCAAGGATAAGACATAAAGCCAAAGACTAAGCCAATCAGATCATCAGCTCCTCTGTGTTTACAGCATGTTCTCAGCTGGGTTGATGATACAAGGAAAACAAACCTGAACTAATAAGACACAATTTCCAAACTTCAGTTTCAGCCACCAGAGATGTCTCATAGGAATTAAGATTTTGCTGTGTTGACAGGACCAGACATGAATTCCCTCCATTGAATGGGTCTTAAGTCCAATTAGACAGTTGCTGATTACCCCCAAGGTAAAAGTACCACTACTGAATCATTAGGGATATCTTGCTGGGATGGTCATTGTTCTCCTTTGGCAGCTTGCATAGCACCTCCTGGAATTAGGAGAACTGGTCCTCAGGGAGGAGGCTTCCAGATCAGTTCCAACTCAGTTCCTCCAAGTCCCATGTACATCGTGTGTGGTGTCTTCAGCAATATGTCCTACTTTCAAGTTCTGGGAGGTAACCAAGGGCAATAGCAACAGCTTATATTGTATTTTTTCCAGTTTCCTTGACTACCCTGACCAACAGCACAAAGGGAGATTCCCCATGCCTATCACTGGGATATTTTTAGGCACTCTAAGGTTCTTATGGGGAGCATTATCACTCCATGTGGTGTAACTCCATTTGAAATATGTGTGTATTATTAAGTATACTTATAAAATGGTGTGTTTTACCATGACTTTTCCAAATGTCCTTACACCAAAGTCTCCAGGGATCACTGAAGAAGAGGGAGAGGGAGATTTTAAGAGTCAAAGGCCCAGGGTGCCTGCTGCTAAATGGTGTCTTCCAGCTATAACGGGGAAGCTGCACCCATGAAATCTCAACAATATGGTTGCTTAAACAAGACCTACATGATGACAATACCAGCTGATGAGCTGACATCGATGGGCCTTTTTACAAGGTCATACCTCTAAAGAGCTACAAACAATAAATTGTTGATGAAAGAGAAAGAATCAGAAAGAGCTTTCTGATAGGTAATCCAATCCTACCCTAAACATATATACTTACTAGTACCACTAAATGGACCCAACACACATACACATACACATACACACACATACACACACACACACACACACACACACACACACACACACACACCCTGAAGGCTATATAACAAGAAACACAGTGCCAGGCAGGAGAAACCTCCATTTGAGTGGTTGGTCAGGGTAGTCGAAGAGACTCCCAAAATAACACAGGCCATTGCCACAGCCCTTGATTACCTCCCAGAACTTGAAGGTAAGACTTTATTGCTAAAGGCAGGGCATACTTCTGACATAGGACTTGGAGAAATGGAGCTGGAACTGACCTGGAAGTCACTCCCC